ATACTAATGATGCATTTATCCGGTTTAAAAGCAATATCAAAACCTTTATCACTTAATTGGCTAATGCTAAGAAGATTATGATTCAAGCCATTTACTAAATAAACATCTTCAATAATGGGTGAGGGTTTCTTACCAATAGAACCGATACCAATGATTTTACCTTTCTCACCACCACCGAAGGAGACATTGCCTCCTTCAATCCTTGATAGGGTTGCAAATAACTCTTTGTTGCCCGTCATATGATGTGAGCAACCACTATCAAGGTACCACATCTCCTTACGTCGTTGCCGTGACGTTCCCTACAAAAGAAGAAGATGAAGGTTAGTAGCTTTAGGTACCCATGTCTTGGGTCCTTGGTGGTTAGTAGTTTTGGTACCTTTGGGTACCCATATCAAACCATAAAAATCTTCATTGTCTTTAATTCTACAATGAGTAGAAATGTGTCCATGTCTCATACAATAGGTGCATACAAAATTTCTTTTGTATGTAAGAATGTTAGAACCATGAAACCTATTTCTACCATAGTGATTGTAGTTGGCATAAACATGAGTGGGTCTAGTCCTACAACCCTCAATTTCTAGTCTTTCAATCTTTGATCTTAATTGCTTATTCTCAAAATCGAGATCTCCAAGCAATTCATCTTTTAGAGCAAGAGAGGTTGTTAGTTGTTCTAGCTTAATATCACAAGAGGCATGCAAATTTTTGAAAGAAGAGTATTCTTTAGACATTCTTTTAAATTCAAAGTTCAACTCTTCTAAAGCCATAGCTATGTCACATTGCATATAAAAAGATTCACTTTTGGCCTCGGATATTACCTCATGTTCATTTGCCATGAAACAAACATTTGGGTTATGAAGAGCAAGTTTGGCTCCTTCTTCATCACTATCCGAGTCACTTGGTTCGGATTCTTCCCATCCGGCATACATAGCCTTCTTCTTCTTGTACTTCATGTACTTTTCTTTGAGCTTGGGGCAATCCTTAGCGATGTGACCCGGTTCATTGCACTCAAAACATTTACTTACACAAGAGGAAAACTTGTTGTTAGATCGAGGGTTAAATTTTTTGTTCATTTTTATAAGTCTAGAGATTCTTCTAAAGAGATGAGCCACTTCTCTAGAAAAATCAACTTCACTTTCCGACGACGAAGATGAGTTGTCACTAGCTCATTTGAGAGCTATGGTCTTCAACTTTGGTGACGACTCCTCAACTTCTCGTGATGGCACTTCCTCCTTCTCCTTCCCCTTAAGCTTCTTCTCATGCACTTTGAGCTTTCCGATGAGACTATCAAGAGCTAAGGTAGTGAGGTCATGAGCTTCCTCAATGGCCGTAGCCTTGGGCTCCCATGCCAGAGTCAATGAGCGAAGTATCTTGTAGTTCATCTCTTGAATGGATAATTGCTTATCTAGACCATGTAATTCATTGATGATATTAGTAAAACGGGAAAACATAGCATCAATGGATTCATTAGGAAGCATTTTAAATAGCTCATAATCATGCATGAGTCCACTAATCTTAGATTCCTTAACTTGGGGTGTTCCTTCATGTGTGACACATAATTTTTGCCAAATTTCGTATGCGGTTGCACACGTGGAAACCCTATTGTATTCATTTGGGGAAAGACCACATATTAAGGCGTTCATGGCCTTAGCATTGAGATTGGCAAGGTGCCTTTCATCATCGGACATGTTCTCAACTTTGGACTTCTCTACATATTTCTTTTCTATGAGCCCTAGGATGTCAAGATCAATGCAACGAAGGTAAATTCTCATCCTAGCCTTCCAATAAGCAAAATTGGTCCCTGTGAAGAGAGGTGGTCTAGTGGTGGATTGTCCTTCCAACATATGCATATTCAAAGAGGCCTCCATTAGATCTTTTCTCTAAGGTTGTTAAACCAAAAACTGATATAGAGACCAAGCTCTGATACCAATTGTTGGACCCTAGAGGGGGGTGATTAGGGTCAAGAGGCTCTAATATGCAATAAAAAACAAATACAAGCAAACCACAAAACAGTAAAGCAATTGAAATAAGAGAGATAGGGTTAGGAGTTCGTTATCCTTGACGCGCGATGTGTTAACGAGGTTCGGCCCTCTGGCCTACGTCCCCGCTCCCCACTCTCGAGGAGAAATCCACTACACACCCGGTTTGGAAGCCGGAACTTCGTCTACACAGCGATCCCACACGATCTCTCTCACTACACAGTTTGATCTCAACAGATCACACCCTCACAGTAGATCTTACACAAGATCTCACCCTCACAGCAGAAGAAAAAAGTAAAAGACTCTCTCTTTACACAACCCCTATGACAAAGAGAAAGGTTACTGAAGCTGGGAAGTGAATCACACACAAAAACAGAGAGAAAAAAACAGATTTGAAAATTTTCTCAGGAAAACAGAGCTCTCTGGTTTTTGCAAACGTTAGGGCTAATTGAAGAAGAAGAAGACTGGGGGTTTTATAGAAAAGATAAAATCATTTTAAAACAAAACCCAATCTTCCCATTTAGGAAGATAATCTTCTTTTCAGATTGTTAGCTCAGACTGTGCCAAACACTATTAAGTGAAAGCACAACAGTCGACGCAAACGACCGTTTTAAAAAAGTCACCGTTGACAGAAAGAAAATTTCGGTCGTCCGAAATAACCTTCGGTCGACCGGAAAAACACGTCGGTCGACCGACCGAAAAATTCGGTCGACCGCGAGCTGCTTCGAAAACTTGGAAAACAAACAGAACCATCGTCGGTCGACCGGCCCGGTCGACCGATTTGAAAATCGAGATTTCGGTCGACCGTGCCTGTCGACCGATGACTTCTCTAGAAAATAGAAAGGAAAGGCGATGGGAGCGGTCGACCGGACCGGTCGACCGCTTTCTGATATATTGCAGAAAACAGGTTTTTGACTAACTTAAAATATTTGCAAAATATTTATTTGACCTCTGAAAAATCTGAAACTTTGTAAAATGTTTTTAATACTAAAAACAAACTGTTTAGAAAAGGAATTTTGCAGATAGGTCCTCATACTTATGAAAAATAGTATTTTGTGAAAAAACGCTTAAAAAACCTAAGTATGAAATCGTGTGTGTGATTCCCAATAGCTTCAAGTAAAATTAGTAACTCTTTGCCTACATTCTAGCACTAGAGAGAGAAACAAAAGAAAGCTAATATCCTCATATAGAGAGCAATACTTGAGCTTTGATATAGCTTGAATCGAATGAAGCTTTTAGTCGAATTTGTCGTTCTTGAAATAACGTTGCTTCATCTCTTGGCCTCCTCCTCCTTTGGATATCTTCTTTATAGCGTATATTCCATCCATCCTCCATTAATGGCACTAACGAGCTTGATAAATGAACTTACTACATTTACATTCAATAAGCCATTAGTACCGATAATGGTGGTTGTAAAACATCATCAAAACATAAGGGCTAACACCTATAAATCTCAACAAGCTCAACTGAGTGAAGAGCTGATTTTTTGGCTCTGGGCATTCTGATTTTCTCTTTGGATATGAAGATCAATCTTTTGGAGATCTTGGGGCTTTCTTCGTTGATTCATTCTCTCTTTTGTAGATCGGGATTCCGATTGAGGAGATTGTAATTTCTTTTTCTAAAGTTTGTTAGAGAGAAATTGTATCGACAGAATTGTAATTAATTCTTTTTCTGAGTTTGTCAGAGAGAATAATACAAATTTAATTCTTAATTTTTTTCTTCAATTTTCCTACCAAACAATGGATATTTTCATACTCTAAATAAAATCCCAAAAAAATCATTTTTTCTCTTCCTAACAATATTTATTATTGCTACCAAACAAAAAAAAGTTAATGAAGTGGAAGAAGCATTATTTCCTCTACTTTCAAAAGTTTACGAAACAAAGAAAAAAAGAAGTACTTCCGCTACTTCATAATTCATAATTTTAGAAATAATAGATTTGATTTACTTCTTACTTCTAATACTTCCTATCAACCAAACATGCCCATAGGGAAAAAAAACTTTCTCATTTTGTTGGCCGAGTTGTTGATCCGTGAGATATTTCAGATTTATGATCTACTTCATAAAGCTACAATTGTTTTTTCTTATATATATCACATTACGTTGTACACACATGTATTTATTTGGTATTTCATATATGTAAACATGGTAAGTCTTACCACGATTTTTTTTGTAATACCACAATAGCCCGGATTCCCTCTAGTTTGGTAGTAATTAGAGAGAGTTCAACTACTCCAATCATTTGTATATTTCAGTTTCAAGGGATGAGATTGTCTCACATAGGATTTCCATTATTATTTTGAAAACCATTATGGTCTTCAAAACAACTATTTTCAAAACCATCTGGTGATAATCCTACGTTACTTAATCTCAGCCTTTTAAAATTGGAATGAATGATAATGATAGAGTAATTGGAGCCTCTCCAATTACCACCTAATTAGTAATTAGAGATCTAAATCCTAGCTATCACATCATGAAGATTTGTGATCTTCTATACTTGAATACACTGTATGTATATCTATGATGCATTTTGTAGGAGGGAAAGGGCGGAGAGGAGGGTGATAGCGGAGTTGGAAAGAGAATATTTCTTGGTTTTATTAAAAACGTTCGGAAACATCAAGAAAGTAACAAATATTTCTTGGTTAGGTGGAGCGGACTCCACAGAGGAGGGAAAGGACGGAGAGGGGTGGTGGCACTAGTCGAGGACAAAGAGGAGGTCAAAGTTGGAAAGAGAATGGTATAATCGTCGATTTCAAAAAAGAAAAAAGTAAAGAAAGTGGAATATACCCTATCAATTTTAACACCAACAAATTAGAGGGATAAATATCAGTATACTAAGATAATATTGGAAACAAATATCAAAATAAGAAGGTTAAAGAGACTTACATCAAAATACCTATGATTCAAGGGACTAATACCTTAAATAACCCTCAATTTAATTTCATGAGCAGGGGCAGAGATTTCTGAATTTTGACTTGTCTTTTATATTATCGGCATATTCTGTGGCC